TATTAATGTTTTGCTACTTTTTCATCTCTTATTTCTTTTTCTACTATTAATCATCTTCCCCCCAAAACCATTTAAGAGCTAAAGATATTATTGCCCTTCATATATAAATATTCAGCATGTATTTCCTAAGAACGACAGTATTCTTGTATGTAACTATATAATATTTACACTAAAGAAATTTAATGTAAAATTCTACTAACAATCAGTTCATATTTAAATGTCTCCAATTGTCCCAATAATATCCCTTATATTTTCTTATTTTTTTTAAGTGAGAGTCTAATCAAGAATCACACATTGCATTTAGTTGTCATGGCTTTCTAGTCTCCTTTAAAATGGTTCCCCAACATTTTTTTTTTTTTTGTCTTTCATGATATTGACATTTTCTAAGAATCCAAGCCAACTGTTTTGCAGAGCGTACTTCAATTTTGGATTTGACAAATCATTTCTTCATAATTCAATTCAGGTAAAAAATTTTAATTTGGGGGACAAAAATACTACACAGGTAATGTATCCTTCTATGCATTGCATTATGATGTATATAATGTCAGTTTGTCCTATCAGTGATGACATCAAGTTTGATTATTTTAGTAAGGCAGTATTGGCCAGATTTTTCTATTGTAAAGGTTAAGTATAATCTCTGAGGTGATAATTGAGGCTCTGCAAATATCTTGTTCCCCACCTTTTTCCACAAATGCTTCTAGCATCTGATGATTCTTGCATGAATCAGTTATTACAATGGTGATTGTAAAACAGTGATTTTATATTTACATTATTCCTTCTACATTTATTAGTTGTCATTTTTATATATATATAAAAGCTCTTCTGGCCGGGCGTGGTAGCTCATACCTGTAATCTTAGCACTCTGGGAGGCCAAGGCGGGTGGAATGCTCGAGGTCAGGAGTTCGAAACCAGCCTGAGCAAGACCCTGTCTCTACTAAAAATAGAAAGAAATTAATTGACCAACTAAAAATATACATACAAAAAATTAGCCGGGCATGGTGGCGCATGCCTGTAGTCCCAGCTGCTTGGGAGGCTGAGGCAGTAGGATCGCTTGAGCCCAGGAGATTGAGGTTGCTGTGAGCTAGGCTGATGCCATGGCACTCACTCTAGCCTGAGCAACAAAGTGAGACTCTGTCTCTAAAAAAATAAAAATAATAAAAATAAAAAAAAGCTCTTCTGCCAGGCATGTTGGCTCATGCCTGTAAATCCCAGTACTTTGGGAGGCCACGGTAGAAGGATCATTTTAGAAATATTCACAATAGCAAAGGGAATAAGGATATTCTGATTGGCCCAGCCAAAAGGATGATCCCACTCACATTATGGGTTGTGGGAGCAGTGAGCCACAGTCCAGTCCAATGACATTGGTCTTCTCTAAGAAGAATTCTGTACTAGTGAAGGAAGGGGAGGGAAAGCATTATTTTCAGAACTTTTTCTATCCATTTACATATGTACCATATATTCCTATATAATATTTTTGTTCTTTTAAAACTTTAAAAAACAGATATCACACTCTACCTAATTGTTTTACAATTTGCTTTTTTCTCTTAATAATAGTTTATAGAGTCTATACTTCTATAGAGTTTATACTTATAGAGTATATACTTCCATTTAAGTAATAAAGCTCTACCTTATCTATTACCATCATTCATAATTGTGGTAACATAAACATAACAGAAAATCTACAATCTTAACCATTTTTAAGCGTATGTATGTGGCTCATTCATATTGTTGTACAACCAATCTCCAGAACTCTTTTCATCTTGCAAAATTGAACTACACACTCATTAAACAACTTTCCATTCCCCACTTAGCCAGTGCCTGGCAACCACCTTTCTACTTCCTGTTTCTGTCAATTTGACTACTCTAGGTACCTCATATAAATGGAAATCATACAGTATTTGTCTTTTTGTGACTGGCTTATTTCACTTGGCCTAATGTCCTTGAGGATCATCCATGTTGTAGCATGTGTCAGAACTCCCTTCCTTTGTAAGGCTGAATCATAATGCATTGTGCATCTATACCACATTGTGTTTATCTAATCATTCATCGATGGCACTGGAGTTGCTTCCATCTCTTGGCTATTGTGAATAATGCTGTGATGAACATGGGTGTGCAAATGATCTCTTTAAGATGCTTTTGATTCTTTTGGATATATCCCCAGAAGTGGAATTGCTGGATCATATAATAATTCCATTTTTAATTTTTTTGAGGAACCACCATACTGTTTGTGGCTACACCATTTTACATTCCCACTAACAGTGCACAATTTCTACATATCCTCACCTACGCTTGTCATTCATTGTTCTTTCATTTCTTAATAGTAGCCATCCTAAGTGGTGTGAAGTGGTATCTGGTGTCTTATTGTGGTTTTGATTTGCATTTCCATAATGACAGTGATGTTAAGTACCTTTTCTTGTACTTTTAGCCATTTGTATATCTTCTCTGGAGAAAAGTCTATTCAAGTCCTTTTCCCATTTTTAAACCTGCCTCATTCTTTTAAAAAGTTCATGACATTCCATAGTAAAGACCCTTTTGGTGCACATTAGTTTGATTTTAATTTTTCTATACTATAAATAGCAGCACAGTAAACATCCTTCTATATGCTTCTTTGTACACATTGAATGTTTCTTTACACACACACACACACACACATATATATATAAAATATTGTCCATGCTGATGTACTTTAAAGTAAATCACCTGTATGATACCTATAAGTAACCAAAAAATAGAATTGGGCTCAAAGGATATCTGCCATTTTTATTTTAATGGATCCTCTAACAGCTGTCTAAAATGGTTTTACCCATTTACACTCTTGTCAGCAAGACAGGAGTACCCATTCACCCACACCCTTGTTATGTATATTGGAAAATTTAGCTGGGCATGGCAACACGTGCCTACAGTGCCAGCTACTCAAGAAGGTGAGGGAGGCCAGGCACGGTGGTTCACGCCTGTAATCCTAGCTCTCTGGGAGGCCGAGGTGGGCGGATTGCTCAAGGTCAGGAGTTTGAAACCAGCCCGAGCAAGAGCAAGACCCCGCCTCTACCATAAATAGAAATAAATTAATTGGCCAACTAATATATATACAAAAAATTGGCCGGGCGTGGTGGCACATGCCTGTAGTCCCAGCTACTCAGGAGGCTGAGGCAGTAGTATCGCTTGAGCCCAGGAGTTTGAGGTTACTGTGAGCTAGGCTGATGCCACGGCACTCACTCTAGCCTGGGCAACAAAGTGAGACTCTGTCTCAAAAAAAAAAATTTAAATTAAAGTTAAAAAAAAAAACAAGCTGAGGGAGGAGGATTACTTAAGCCCAGGAGTTAGAAACCAGCCTAGCCAGCAGAGCAAGACCCCATCTCTACAAAAAATTCAGAAATTAACCAGGCTTGGTGGCACATACCTGTAGTCCCAGTGCTTGGGAGGCAGAGGCAGGAGGACTGCTTGAGCCATGGAGTTTGAGGCTGCAGTGAACTATGATTGTGCCACTGCACTCCAGCCTGGGTGACAGAATGAGGCCCTGTTTCTTTAAAAATAAAAATCTTCTGATCATTCATTTGTTTTGGGGAGGAGAAGGAAGTGTCTTGTACAGAAATCTATAATTTTAATATATTCAAACTTATCAATCTTTTATGGCTTTAACATTCTGCTTCCTAAGACTTTTATTTAAAGGTTATAAACACACTCTTCTTTGTTTTTTCTAATGCTTCCATAGTTTAAGGAAAAAGTTTAGATCTTTGATTCACTTGAAATATATTCTCATGAATCATGTGAAGCAGGAATCTAAATATTTTTTTTCAAATGGATAGCCACCTTGCCATTATAATAATATAACAATAACTGACATGTATTGAACAACACTTACTTGGACCAGGAACTGTTCAATTTCATCCCACCTTATTGGGCTTGTTTTGAGGATTACACAAAAACGTTTTAAAGCAGCAGCAAGGAAAGCACCAAATGTTTATGTGGTTTGCCTGAATCATAGAGACACTAACTGGTGGAAGCAGGAGTCTGATCCTAACAGAATGACTCCACACTATTTGACCTTCTAATATAATTTATTTTTCCCACAAATTTGAAGTACCACCTTAATAATATGCCAAATTCCCATAAATATGTAGGTTTGTTTATAGACTTTCTATTGTGTTCCAATGATCTATTTATCTATTTATACACTATCTTGTGAGCACTGAAAAAGTCTACTCTGATCATGTTATCTATCCTGCATAAAATTTTGATAACACCCTCAGGATCAAATCCAAAACCTACAGCGTGTCATGTAAGGGCCCCTCCCTTCCACTTTCTACCTCTGAAGTCTCAGATGTCGGTACAGGTCACTTTCCCCATGATTTCCTATCTTCTAGTCATAAAAACCCTCTGGCAGTTATTTGAACAGGCCAAGCACATTCACTCCATGTAACACTGTGCCTCCTTGTTTTTGTTCATACCACTTGCTCTGCTTTACCGTATCTGCCTTAGTTAGTGGGCAAGCACCTATCCATTTTTAAGATTAACTCTACTCTTTCCTTCCTCCCCAGCCCAAGTCAAAAGAAATCATTCTTTCCTCCTTTATGTGTCCACACTTGCCTCTAGCACTGCTATTTGATTGCATTTATTTATTTACATAGTTTTCCCCCTACCTTACCTAGTATAAATTTAAATGTTTGTTGAGTAAATCAATATAAAACAATGACCATCAAATTGTATGCGCAATCATCAGAGCAACTAATTTGTAAAAAGATGCAACAATTTTATTTTTATTGTAAATCAACAATTTATAATTGTATAAATTTATGGGGTACAAAGTGATGTCATCATTTATGAATACAAGGTGGAATAATTAAATCAAACCGGTTAACATATCCATCACCTCAAATACTTAACATTTTTGTGGTAGGAACATTTGAAATTTACTGTCTTAGCAATTTTGAAATGTATAATACTCTATTATTAATACATTTACAACGCTATGCAATAGAACTCAAAAAAGAACAAAACATTCTTCCTGCCTAAGATTTTGTACCCTTTGACCATCATTTTAAAATTTTAAATGAGACAAAATATCATTTTCAAAATAGCATCCAACAGTGAGTGTATTTAACCATATTCAGCTCATAATAGAGCAAATGGGTGAACAGAATAATTCATTGCCCTGAATGTTTAACAAACTGCTAACAGAGAAAGTTGGTTGAAGAAATGCAGAGGAACACTGTCTTATAAGAATTAGAACCGAGGGGCTCCATAATCATCAGGCATCCGTTCAATATTGTATCTGATCAAGACAAAAAAATTAACACTGGTAAGAAAGATGGGCACAGAACCATCTAAAATCCCATCCTTTACTGACTGCAACACTCTTACCCCACTATGAATTCTTTTGTCAGTGGGAACATTTTGGGGGAACATGATAATGAATAATTTACATTAAAAAAAATCAAATTACTTATTTAAAAATAACTAATTAAAAAATTTTTCAAGCTGGGCACGGTGGCTCATGCCTATAATCCTAGCTCTCTGGGAGGCAGGAGGATCGTTCAAGGTCAGGAGTTCGAAACCAGCCTGAGCAAGAGCGAGGCCCTGTCTCTACTAAAAATAGAAAGAAATTAATTGGCCAACTAGAAATATATAGAAAAAATTAGCCAGGCATGGTGGCGCATGCCTATAGTCCCAGTATTCGAGAGGCTGAGGCAGAAGGATTGCTTGAGTCTAGGAGCTTGAGGTTGCTATGAGCTAGGCTGACACCACAGCACTCTAGCCCGGGCAACAGAGAGAGACTCTCTCTCAAAAAAAAAAAAAAATTTTTTTTTCAAAACAGATATTTCTGGCCAAAAATACTAGCTTGCTTTAAATTGCTGCTTTGTATTTAAATTGGCACATTTCTCTATTTCTTCTAATAATCTTACTGTAACGATTTAAATGTCTGCCTCATAACTAAATCCTACCTTTATCTTTTGCCCTTGTTCTTGCTACTCTGTCTCATTTCTTCAAGTTTAACTATGTAAACGTTTGATACAATAATTTCTTTCATATTCTCTATAACCTTATCCCCTGACCTCATTTTTAACTGATATCAACTATATACTTCTAATCACTTTCCCAAGAGAAATTTCTCACCTATGGTTAGAAATGTACATGATAGGAACTCCAGGGATTTTCCGGATTCTTCGTTTAAGGTCTCGGTCAACTGTGGCCACAATGTAACATTTGTGCTGTAAGAGACATAGATTGGTTTTCACACTGAGCTCACTGAGTACACTTAATGACTATTGGATAATGGCACAAACACTGACTAGTTTGGAGAATCATTCATTTTCACAGTGAATAGTTGAAGAGAAGATTGTAACAATTTGCTGCATTGCTATTATGATCTAGTTCATATTTATAAAATATATAACAAGATGCCTGGGCTGAATGTAGCCTTAAGAATCTTGAGGGGGAGAACAGAAAACTACTTAAAAGCTGCAGAGTGTTTTCTGTCTCATAAGTGGAAGAGACTTTCACATTTGAGGCAGGCAATTCCTGAGTTTTGGACTCTATGCAAATTAAAGTGCCTTAGATTGGAGGGCAGCTCTCTCCTTTTCCGGGATCTTGGGGCTTGAGCATGCTCTGAGGCCTCCTAGTGGTAGAGGTAGGCTACCCTATGGGCCAGAAAGCCAGAATAGGATCTTTAGGACCTGAAGTTTAAGCCTAGTAGCTCCAAAAGCAGTAACACTTAGGTGTCAGTTGGAAGTTATATTGTACCTTACTTTTGTCATATCTGAATCTCTCACTGAGTTTTATAAAAAGCTTCAGCATGGTGTCAGCTATGCTGTGGGAAATTAATGGAATGCTGGCCTTATCCATGGGAAATAGTGGCTAAAGGGATGGCCATGCAATTACCAGATGAAGATTATCCTTAGCAGATGTTCTGGTGGTGCTTGATAAGGAGGCCAGAATGGAAGAATTAAACACCTGCTTCTTTAGGGTATGTGTGAGATAGCACTCTGGGAGGCTCTCATATATAACTGAGAAACACTTTTGGGTTAGAGATGGTGGACAGGAATAAAATTCCTGCAACAGGAATAAGTGGAAATGTAACTTTATTTTATATATCCTACATTAACTCACTTAAACTATTTTACAGAGATTTGTGAAATAAAAAATCAGTAAGTGTCCCAATCACATACAGTGTAAATGCAGGTGCTGAGATCTAAAATCCATATCTCCTTCCCAAGCCTGTGCTCTTTCCATTATGGTTAGAGTATAGATTTTCAAGTTACTCTCTAAAGTAAATGAGGATACCTATGCTTTTTATGAATAGATGCTTTATAATTTTTTTAATCATTTATTTTACTTTACTGACATTCAAGAGATAATAGTTTGCCTTTTTTTTAAGGCACAAAATAAAGATTTACAAATTGATGATACCTGAGTTACTCTCTGTACTAAGCAGTCATCTGCATAGGTTCCTTTATGTGTGCATGGTAATCGTTCAAATCTTGGATCCTTGGCAATTCTGTAGGGTTATAAAAGTGGATTAAAGAAACAATCAAGCAATTGGATGATTTTCTAAGTCTCAATCAGTGAAATAAATGTAACACGACCTCAATGGAGATTTTAAAGCCCCCCTCTCCTCCTAAAGCTTATGCTCTAATTGGAAAGACAACTCACAAGGAAGACAACTGGTGTGCTTACGTCATTTCATTATTACAAAATCCTGAGCTATTATGTATCCATTTTACAGATGAGAAGGCAGTTTCAGAAAAGTTAAATCAATTTATTCAAAACACAGTTGGGAAAAGCCAGGCTTCAAAACCAAATCAATTTTTTTTTTTTTTTTCTGTCGAAATTAAAGGATTCACATTTAATTTTGAGTTTACTCAGAATACCTTAAATTTTGGGTAGTGTTCTAGGTGTGTGTCTGTACCCAGAGTCCCAGCGCACACCTGCTCAGGGAATTCACAAACTATTTTCATAATAATGTAAAGACATTGCCTTGTACTATGTTGATATTTGCAAACTGATGGCAAAACTGCTAATGCCGTTAGTACAAATCAAGGCAGTGAACTCATACATGGCTAGTAATTATATTCCTTCACTATCACCCATAGGCAATTTTTTTTAAGCCAGAGCTGCCAGGCATCGTGACTCACACCTGAAATCCTAACCACCAGGAAGCCAAAGGCAGGAGGATTCTAGAGCTAGGAGTTTGAGACCGCCTGAGTAAGAGCAAGACCCTGTCTCTACTAAAGATATAAAATTAGCTAGGCATTGTAGTCCCACCTACTCAGGAGGCTGGAGCAGGAGGATCACTTGACACAGGAGTTTCAGGTTGTGAGTACTCAACCTCAGACCTGCTCCTGCCTCAGCCTCCCCAGTAGCTGGTACTATAGGCATGTGCCACCATGCCGGGCTATTTTCTATATATTCTAGTGTCAGCTAATTTCTTTCTTTTTTCTTTTTTAGGTAGAGGTGGATCTCACACTTGCTCAGGCTGGTCTCGAACCTCCTTGAATTCAAATGTCTGCCTGCCTTGGCCTCCAGAGTGCTAGGATTATAGGCACAAGCCACCATGCCAGCCTCAAAATTATGGTAGTGAGCTGTCATTTCAAGGAAAACACCTTACTTTGTTGCCAGTGCTAAAATTCAAGCTTTCAAGGTGAATTAGGTTGTGGAAAACTGTGAGCATATTATATTCCCAATACTAAAGACTTTCTGGTTGAAACCCATAGAGATATTGAGTGTGATTCATTATATATATAAACTTTTTTTTTTTTTTTTTTTTTTTTGTAGACAGAGCCTCGCTTTGTTGCCAGGCTAATTGAGTGCCATGGTGTAGAGCCTAGCACAAGGCAACCTCGAACTCCTGGGCTCAAGCATCCTCCTGCCTCAGCCTCCAAGTAGCTGGATTACAGGGCAGGCGCACCATGCCCAGTCTAATTTTTTGTATATATATTGTTGGCCAATTATTTCTTTCTATTTATAGTAGAGATGGGTCTCACTCTTGCTCGAGGCTGGTTTCAAACTCTGAGCTCGAGCAATGCACCTCGCCTCCAGAGTGCTAGGATACAGGTTGTGAGCCACCGTGCCCGGCCTTTTTTATATGTTATCTAATGAAAAGTGTCAATTTTTGGAAAATCTGTGTGCCTCATTGATTAATATTTCCAAATGATTAATGCCTAAATTACAAATCATATGTATAAAGGAATTCAAAGTACAGAATCACTTGAGTGAGACCAGGCCAGGCTCGGTGGTCACACCAGTACCCTAGCACTCTGAGAGTTGAGGTGGGAGTTGATTGGATCAGGAGTTTGGATCATCCTGAGCAGGTGAGATTCTGTCTCTACTAAAAGTAGAAAAATAGCAGATGTTGTGGTTTGCACCTGTGTCCCAGCTACTCAGAGCTGAGGCAGAGGCCTCAGCCCAGGAGTTTGAGGTTGCTGTGAGCTAGGCTGACCCACAGCACTCTCAATCTGGGCAACAGAGCAAGACTGTCTATCCCTCTCCTTGCCAAAAGAAAAAAAGAAAAGATCACTTGAGTGAGACCAGTGGATTTTTTTCTTTGTCACCTTTATGTGGTATATTTTCATACGTCAACTCATCAATTTTACTTGTATAATTTGATTTTCGAATACGAGGATATACAGTTTGTGGAACTACCATAATATAATACTCATGAGGTAAACATTTCTATCACTCCAGAAATGGATTTCCACTTATATGAAATTCTAGGAAAGAATATAGATGAATGGTTTTTGGAGCCAAGGCGAGAAAAGGGTACTTACTGCAGAGGGGGACAGGGAACTTTCTGTGGCATTGCAAATGTTCTGTCTCTCAATGTGGAGGAAGTTACATGGATATATAAATTTGTCAAAACTCATTTAACTAACTTTATAGTTAGTGAATTTTATTATATTTTATATATATATCTAAAAGTATTTTTCTTTTAGGCAAAAGAAAATGGAGTTATTAGAGTAGTAGAATTGTTTAGATCAGTGGGAAAGTGATTGATTATCCTGTGGAAAGAAATAAAATTTATCTTTACCTCACATAAAATCAATTCCAGTTGATTACTACTAAACTCTAGTAATAATATGTTATAGAAAACATCTTAATGATTTGGGGGTGAGCAGAAATGTATTAAGAAATGTAGACCAGGCCCGCAAAGTAGCTCATGCCTGTAATCTCTAGCACTCTGGGAGGCCGAGCAGGCAGATTGCTAGAGCTCAGGAGTTAGAAACCAGCCTGAGCAAGAGCGAGACCCGTCTCTACTATAAATACAAAGAAATTAATTGGCCAACTAATATATATACAAAAAATTAGCCGGGCATCGGTGGCCTGCCAGCTACTCGGGGAGGCTGAGGCAGTATGATTGCTTGAGCCCAGGAATTTGAGGTTGCTGTGAGCTAGGCTGACGCCATGGCACTCACTCTAGCCTGGGCAACAAAGTGAGACTCTGTCTCTGGAAAAAAAAAAAAGTCAGGAGCATATCATTTATCTAAGTTTAAAAACAAGCAAATCAATACTACATTGTATGTACATATGCAATCTTACATGCATAGTAGGCTGTGGAAATGCTAAATGCCAAATTAGAGCCGGCGCGTGGTCACGCTGTAATCCTAGCACTCTGGGAGGCTGAGGCGCGGATTGCTCAAGGTCAGGCGTTCGAAACCAGCCTGAGCAAGAGCAAGACCCCGTCTCTACTATAAATAGAAAGAAATTAATTGGCCAACTAATATATAGAGAAAATTAGCCAGGCATGGTAGCACATGCCTGTAGTCCCAGCTACTCGGGAGGCTGAGGCAGTAGGATTGCTTGAGCCCAGTAGTTTGAGGTTGCTGTGAGCTAGGCTGACGCCACGGCACTCACTCTAGCCTGGTCAACAAGCGAGACTCTATCTCAAAAAAAACAATTTAGGATAATAGTTACTTATGGAGAGGTAAGAGACTCTAGAAATGGAAAGGGCTCCATTTTTATTTGTAATGTTTCATTTATTTACTAGATGGTCAGCATTTTTTATACTTTTTTATATGCCTGAAATAATTCAAATTAAAGGGGGAAAGAGGACAATTTTTAAAATAATAAAAATAAAGAATGCAGGTGAGAAATAGAAGCACAAGTGGAAGAACTAAGTTTGGCGTCAAGAGAAACAGAAGTGGGGTGTTAGCGAAGGGGATGTAAGTAAAAAGGTGTTTTACTTTTTTTTTTTTTTTTAAGATGGAAAAGATACAAAAGCATGTTGGTATATTTGGAGAAAGAGCTTATAGAAAGAAAACAAATGATTTCTGGTGTAAAGAGATAACCAAAGAGCAAAATCTTAGACTGTTGCCTACCTAGTTTCTTGGCAACTCTTCCTCTAGTGTATCCTCCACACCACAGCCAGCTTGTTTTTTCCAAGACAGAGCCTTGCTTGTGTCACTCTGTTGCTCAGAAATCTTTTAATGAGTCCACATCACTATATTGTCACATTTGTCAGCCAGTGTTGAAGACTCTTTCCAGCCCTATTTAACTCTCTTCTCCATAAAAGTCCTTCCCCCAGCTAGAAAGTTCCACTCACTCTCCCTGAACACCAACAACCAATTTACAGGTGGCTGGTGCCAGTTTGGTACCTGCCTATACTCACAGAGCTTGGTACATTCTTTCATCTTCATTTTATCTCATCTCCATGTCATTTTTTTAAATAAATATTATCCAACCCCTGTTGACCTAGCACCAAACTACTGCAATATGGAGGAAGATTTTGTTGACCTTACTACCTGTAACCTATTTTTTCATTTCAGTGACTCGTTATCATTGTGAAATACAATAGAAAGAGAAGGCCTCTAGGAATCACAGACTTCGGGTCTTCTTTTCAAATGTTGTATAATATGTGTTTGAATTTTATGGCAATAATATAAACATATATATATATAATAAAAAGTAAAAGTTTCTCCACTTTCAACTTTGTCCAGTCCCTTACCCAAGAGTCACAACTGAGAAGGGTCATTATATATTTTTCCAGACCTTTTTCTGGGCAATTGCAAATCTAAATAAATAGTGTTAGATAGATTTGTGTTCTTAGTTGAATCATATTATATATTTATAAATTGTTCATTGGCCTGCTTTGTTTATTCAGCAGTTTCATATAAGTCCATCCACATTGGTACATACAGCTCTACTTCACTTTTTTTTGCTGGAGCACCAAAATGTGTTTAACTTTTACCTTGCTGATGGATATTTAGATTATCTCCAGTTTTTCACTACTATAAACAGTGTTATAGTGACCATCCTTGTGCCTGTATTCTTGTATATTTGTGTAAGACAACTTCCTAAAAGTGAAATGGTTAGTTTAAAATTGACTTGGTTTTGGGCCGGGCGCGGTGGCTCACGCCTGTAATCCTAGCACTCTGGGAGGCCGAGGCGGGCAGATTGCTCGAGCTCAGGAGTTCGAAACCAGCCTGATCAAGAGCGGGACCCGTCTCTACTATAATAGAAAGAATTAATTGGCACTAATATATATAGAAAAAATAGCCAGGC